TGAAGTATAAAGGTAAAGTAAGAATAAAAGGGTTAAATATAAATAAAAGCTTCAACTTAGTAAAAAAAGTAGAAAGGAATGAAGAAAAAAAAAGAAAAAAGGAAAGATCGGAGACGCAAAAGGCAAAGCTTTCAAGTTACAGTCGGTTACAGTCCGTCAGGTCACAGTCTGTTTGAATGATAGCTGTGATTTGTAAGTGGCTAATTACGGTCGCAGTCGATTTAGTAAATTACGAGAAGGGCCCATGTAGGGAGTGTACGGAAAACTACAGCAGTAGTGCTCCAATTTAAAAAGTTGTCTGTTTGGCCAAAACACAGTAAGAATCTTCCTTGTAACACGGCATCGCTGTAGACGCAATTGATTTCTACGTTCCACATTGAAAACGGCAAACTTTTATCTCCAAGTCTTCCCATTTTATAAAAAAATCAGAATTTTCACCCCTACGTCTCTTTCTGAAGATCTCTATTGCAATGTGACGACATGTACAACAACTAGTCATTTATGTCTACACTGACTCCTACTTGCGCGCAGCAACTAATGCAGCAAATTCTAACAAACTCTTGAACAATCTTGCGAAGCATTTGTAAGAAACAGATACGAACAACGTATAAATTGACAACCAATCTGCCGTGCCTCCATTGCACTAGAATATAACCAGGGATCAGCTGATCTGATAGAGAAATTTGTTTCTGCTTCTTCTATAACCAACAAAAAAGATGCTAAAAACAAATGAGTGGTCAGCATAACTGTTCAATATGAAACAAACTTTGCAGATAACTTTTGAAGCTTTCGGTTATAATCTCTAACTCTGTTCTGGAACCACGTTGCCAGTCATGTCACCTCTTTAAAACCCTGCCTTTCAATCCCACTCAGTGATCTTAAATAGGAGTAAACCTCGAGGTGAAAAACAGGTAACACCTAACAATGTTAATCAGTGCCCGCTATCAAACTCTGAGAATACTTGTGCAGCTGTAAATAAACGCCCTGTCCTTTCACACATCGACTTGTTCAATGTCTATTTCTAGCTTAAGGTTGATGAAGAAGCAAAACAACAGTTAGTGACCAAAATAAACCTAGACGTTTTTTAACAAAATAGGTCACTCTATTGAATTAATTCGGTACCAGCAATTTCCCAACAAACCAAGTCGCGAATGACCGTACGCACTTCGAGAGTAGAGACACATTTAGACAATATTCTTGCTTCAGAGATCACTCTAACAGAACGTTCGAAGGGGTTTCATACGATTCTAAAAAGATTCCAGTTCTTTGGGTTTCATTGTCAAAAAAGGAAATTTTTTTTCGTAACCCCATCAGCTTACTATTCAGGTTCTATTGCCAATCGCAATGACATTAAGCCCAAACCAAATACTAAATATTAAAAAAATGCCAAGACCATTTAATGTTTCTGCCGTTATGACATTCTTGGGTTTCGTCATTACGCGTAGTTTATTCCACATTCATATAACTCGCTGGTCCTCCAGAAAAGTTACTTCAAAAAAATGTCTTCCCTGGTCGATAGACTGACAAAAAGTAATTCAATGAATATAAACTAATATGATGTCTTCTTTGTCGTCAATTTATTGTCGCCCAATCAGTGGCTATTTTTCGCAGCTGACTCTTCGAGTTTTGGCGTAAAAGCAGTTTTTATGGCCAAAGAAAAGCAAAAAAGTTACTGGCCACGCATCAGAGTTATTGACCACAGCAGAGCATAATTAATCACAAATAAAACGCGAAACTCTACGTAAAGCTTTTGAAGTGAAGCAGTTCTAGCAGTACTTCTGTGGTACTTCATGTTGACTACAAATCACCAACCCTAAACTTCAGTTATAATCTCCAAAAAAAAAAACCCAGCCCTTGCAGCATGCAACCTTTAATGCTAAACTCTGTTTTTAATGGATTGTACATTCAAAGCTCAATACCGTTCTGAACAGTTATTTGGTTATGCCGGTGGCAGTCGGTCATTGAAGATCAAGTTAGCCAAGTATATTACGAGCTAGTCGACTCTTTTCCTGTGACATCGAAGAAACTGTCAAATGCCACGGCGACAGGTCTGGCTTTAATTTTTGTTTCTAGATACTTACAAAGTAGCTGGCCACATGAGGTTTATTCACTTAAAAATTAATTTGCACTAGAAAAACCGGACTGAACTTTCTTCCCATTA